CCCAAACGAAAGCTCACCCTTGAGGCGAGTGACACCCTAGCGTGCCCTCTGCCCGGAGCGGCCAACGTCCACCGCGAGGCCCGACGACCGTCCCCCGAACGCGTAAGTCAAGGAAGAACCGCACCGCCTCCTTCTGTGACAAAAGCCTGCGTGCAGAGAGGTGACCGGAGGACCCTCCAAGGACACAGCGGGGGAACGAAAGGTCTTCATTTATCCGACGACCAGGCCTTAGTTCCGCCGAACCCCAAGAGGCTAAGCAGGGGACTGGATTTTTGTGAGACGGGCGTCCAGGTTAAGGGGAAGAGGTGTGACAGGTCGAGAGGGGCCAGCGGGAGAGTGTGTGGGAGGCGCGGGCGGCACAGGCCACCAGCGGGAGAGTTCGGGAGCAAGGACAGGGACGGGGACCGCGAATCGCGAAGCTAGAGTGTCAGTCGGATGCGCGCCATGGCCGTCTCTGCGTCCCCGCCCCAGGACTCGGTCAAATTCACATGTCTCTGAAATATTTCGGAGATAAAGATGAGGGCTGAGGCCGGCCGGCTCGGCCCAGGGTCGGTCCCGTTCGCGCAGCGTGTCGCCGGCCAGGAAGCTGATGAGGGACGTGAATGTGTCGCCGGCTGGGAAGCTGATGAGGGACAGGAATGTGCCTCTCTCCTCAGAGCGCAGAGAACGTTCCTGCGTTGTCTCCAAACGTCGCGTTTCCAGGACAGAAAGCGAAACGTGCCAGTCTCGTGTCCTGGCGTTCCTGCCTTGTTCCCTGAGGGGACTTTCCCCCCCGGAGTGACCTTCATCAGCGAACCGCTCCTCGGAGCGGCAAAGCGGTGCCTGTGGTCCCCTGAGACGCTGGGGCAGGTGTCGCACGGAGGCCCAGGCTGCCCGCGGCTCCTTGGGAGAAAGGCAGCCACGGGACGGCGCCCGGGCCTCTGCCCTGGGCCGGCCACCCTGTGTCACTGAGTTGGACCGACGGCGGCTTTGGGACACCCGCCCACACACTCTCCCTTCTGCCTCGGCCCTGCAGCCACGCTTTGCTGGCCGGGCTGTCCGGGGTCAGCCTAGTCCACGCTGGCTCTCACTCTTAGGCCTCCTCGCTGAGAAGTGTTTTGCACGCTCATTGTGAGCGCGTCGGGGATAAAGCCTCGGAACTCGGCTGCCTGACAGGGTCCCCTCCCTGTCACCGCACGGCTGCGACGGGGCACGCGGAGCGAGGTGGCGGAGCTGGAGCGCCTCTGTCGACAGCCCGGAGGAGCCCGGGGTGGCTTCCTCCTGCGGATTTCCAGAAGAGAACCCCATCTAGTCGTGACCTTGAGTTTATCCTTGTGAGAACCTGGGCAGAGCCCGGCCACACCGTCCCTCGGCTTCTGACCTACGGAGCTGTGTTCTAATAAGGGGGTTGCTTGAAGCTTTCGGCAGTTTGTTATGTAGTAATGGAAAAGTATAGCTGTCTGTCTGTCCATCATCTATCTATCTATCTATCTATCTATCTATCTATCTATCTATCTATCCATCATCTATCTAGCTATCTGCAAATATTTGATCCTATATTGGTTTATTAAAAAAGAAGAATGATATCTATCCAATTCATCTATCTATCATCTATCTAGCCATCATCCATCTATCTATCGATCATCTATCTATCCATCATCCATCTATCATCTATCTATCTATCTATCTACTATCATCTATCTATCTATCTATCATCATCCATCTATCTATCTATCTATCATCTATCTATCCATCATCCATCTATCTATCATCTCTCTATCCATCATCTATCTGCTTGTCTGTCTGTCTGTCTATCTTCACCATCATCGCCGTCATCATCATCATCATCTATCATCAGTCTATCATCCATCCATACATCCATCCTAAACCAATCACAGAGGAAGACCGAAAACGTCTCTCTGCCTCTGGAGCTGGCCCACTTTAAACCAGCGGTTCACTAATCCAATTTCAAGGTTATCCTACCTTACGTTTCTCTTCTTTCTCGAGGTCTTTCTTGGCACCACTCACCTTCACAAGAAGGTGAGATGGGAAAAGAAAGAATAAGGAACTGTTTTAAATGAGCCAGGTCCAGACCCTCCAGGCTCGCAGCAGACCGGGCAGAAGAGGGTCAAAGCCGATGAGCAGCCTCGAGGGAGCATCGGCTCCGCAGCCTTCTCCCCACAGGCGCTCTCGGGAGTCAGAAAGTCCCGAGTTGGAATCTTGCCTTTGCTACTAACTGAAAACCAATGAACCTTATTTAGCTTAGTCTCAGCTTCTTCCTATTTAAATTATTATTCTTAATCATCAGAAGAGTGGGAATGAGGAAATAAATGGAAAGCCTTATGCTAACAATTCAACAATTGGTGGCTATTATTATTATTATTATTATTAATACTTTCTCCCTCTAACTAATTGATGACCATCTGTATAATCGGATCGAAGGTGCCTGTCACTGTTCCCCTCAGTTGTGACCTGGGGGAGATGGAAAGGACAAAAGAATACGTTCCAGCCTTCCTGTCTTGTGGAGGTGAAGAAGCTCGCGCTGGATGCTCGAGCTCTCAGCATTACATTCCTTATGACACCTGGATGAGGTCAGTATTGACGCGGACGTTGGGAATTCGGCTGCGACTTTACAGATGCACAATAGAATTTGGTATGACGAGAGCTTGTCATAACTTGCATGCAACACGGATTAATTATTCGGTTATAAAGGTCTCAGTTTAAGACCATTCGTGCATATCTGTGACTTGGTCTCGTGGCGTTGAGCTGGGAGGCTCTGTTACAATAAGATTCTTGCCTGCTTTGAAAGATCAGCATATTCTTTAAAGTTGGTAGGTACAAAGTGGCAAGGAATAGCTTCTCCTACTTGGCTGCCTTTTAAAATATGACATTCCTTTACAAATATTTTATATTTCTGTTATCCCTACTTAGGGTAAATCAAGGAGAAAATAGTCTTCGATTCTGTTAAGACTCTTTGACCAATGTCAGAACATAAAATGGCACAGGCCGACTGTACGAACAGCGGTGATTCGGCATGCCCTGTCATCTTAGATTAGGGTACTGGAAAATAACTTTTCTATGGTCATGAAATAAGTAACATCACAATTTCACAAGCTCTGGAATAATACAATTTTACCTCTGATAGTGTAGAAAGCGTTAGAAACATCTCCTGATCTTTCAGGTGAGCAGAATGCCATACTACTCTGTGTCATAATATTGAATAAAAACATTGTTAAATACTAATTAGCTTTTTTTCTTTTTGTGTTAGCGTGTCATGACATTGTGTAAAAATGATGGAAAAATGGTTTCAAGTTTTCCGAGGATTATAAATAAGATTTGGTTTAATATCGGGGGAAAGCATTGCTTTCATTTTCTCTTTAAGTATTTGTCTTGTTTTCAAAATTCTCCCAGCCCAGAGTGGAAGCCGACTGTAACAGGGGCGGTGGCGGTCGGAGCTGCCCTGGGTCTGGGAGCCGAGGCCACATCTGAAGCGGTGTCCGTCTGCCCACCGGCTGCGTGACCTTGGGCCAGTGACCGAACCCCTCTCTGCCTTAGTGTCCTCACCGTAAAACAAGAATCCTTCGAGCCTCTCCCTCGCGAAGCTGCGTGGATTTAAAAAGCTAATACACGGAAGGCACTTAGACCTGTCCCCTGTAAGTACCTGCTGTTAGTGCTCAGCTAACCCACACTGGCCCGGGGACACGGAGCGGTACCCGATGGAAGGACTCCATCGGTATCTTCATTCCGCCTCCTCTAGATTCACGGTTGGTTGAGAATCTACCAAATTTACCAAATTCTGTGGAATTTGACAAAATAGCACCGAGGGAGAGAGAGTCAGTGGGTAGTTTAGGTCCCTGGCAACCAGCTAATTCACTGTTCGATCCAGATCCTTCCAGAGGCGAGACTGGCATTTAGCGCTTGATTCCTGCCATTGCTGGGAGACGCTCGATTGTCGCATTTGGTGCCATCTGACACGTGCTTCCAGCGAATGGGGAGACTCTCCTCTGCCCGCAGCCCAAAGGGCCGTTGGAATTTGCATCTCTGCAGGGCCCAATGAAATCATGCACTGACCATCTCAGCTTTCAGTTTGGAATACAACGCTGGCCATCACGAGAACCCGTTTCCATTGGTTAGCTCGCTTAACGTGCACGACAGCACTGTGGCCATATAGGTGTCGGCTGATAGTCTGTCCCACGGGCGAGAAAGCCAAGCCCAAAGAGGCGAACGCATCATCCCCGCTGTGCAGGGGGGCAGGCCCCGTGCTCCCGCAGGGGCCCGCGCTGCGTGTCCTTAGGGTCTCGGTGTCGAGTGACTTGAACCATTTTCTTTTTAAAGAAACAATTTGGATTAGCACCTTTTCGACGCGGTAGGATAAACCTGAAGAGCTTTCAAGGAGCCTTTCATTTGGGGAGGGGCCACCACTGCTCCAAGGCCTGTTTGGTCACTGAGCGATGGCTCTAACGCTGTCACCCGATCACGCCCCCACCTACCCCGTACCTCCGAAGTGTGGCGGGGGGCCGCACAGAAGCACCACGCCTTGGCCTTCTCGGACGGACACTGTGCTTCGGGTTTTGGTTTCGAAGTCTTCGATATCTTGGGAGCAAAGAAAAGCAGGTTTAGAATTAGTTACCGTGTGAGGGAAAATCATTTTAAAGAAGAATCTTAAACTGTTTTTATTATTAATTGTAATGAACACTCATATTTGACTGACCAGGAGGCTTAGTTAGTGATCAACTTATCCACGTGGATTATTTCTCAACGTCTTGTTTTTCTCTCCTTCTATTTTAATACGATTAAACAGAATATGTAATAAAAACATTTACTAACATCGCTTACTATCTGTTCAGCTTTATTCTCCCAGGCAGCCTGTAGCCCGACAGGAAATCTTTCCAGCCCAGACTACTTGCTTTCCCCACACAGGGAAGGCGTGATTTAGAAATGGCATGCAGCATCTTTGAGCATCTTAGATTAACGGCTGCCTTTTGGGGTGAGAACTTGGCATAGACTGGTGTGAGGGACAGGTCTATGTGACTGACCAATGAGAAGCAAGAGAGATTTTCGAATCTCTCTTCATCTCCTCGTCACAAAGCGGCTCCGTGGTCCTGTTTGGGTGTTCTGAGAAAGCCTGGTGGCCATGCTCTGCACCCATCCACCGGGCTCCAAGTCTCCCAGCATTCCTGGTCAACGGCCGCCTGGTACCCGGAAATGGCTAAGGTGTTTAGCTTCTCTGCACCTTGGTTTCTTCACCTGTAAAACCCCTTTATTCGTTCATTCGGAATTTTATCAAATTTGTGTCGAGCCCCTACTAAAACACAGAAGGAGTATGAAGAGCAGACCACATATTGGTAAACGAAGCAGGCGTGAACCTTCATCTTTTTGTGCTTATTATCTAAGAGGAAAAGTAGGAGACGAGTTAACAAACAAATGTATCATTTCCTCATCGTGATAGTTGTGGGTGGAGACTGACAGCTGTCTACCAACATCTATTCTCCCTTGTAGATCAAAATGCTTTTCTAACCAGAGGATGCTTTTCTCAGACATCTTTGCAGCTGCATGAGGTCGGCACATGTGATGAGTAAAACTTCCACCTATTATGTGCGGGAGGAAATCTCCACAAATTGTGATGTTCTCTACCCAGCCACCCACCTAGATCACGAAAGGCATGGCAGATCTCGCTAAAGATGGAAGGGCCGCTGTTAGCCTGGGTGCATGAGTGGCTGCGTGGAGCGGACACAGCTGATGCGGAATGCTGACTCTGGATCACCGTGTCAGAGATAAGCAGACGTCTGCCTTGTTTGAGGCCCTTATTTTGGGATCTGCTTGTTACAGCGGTTTGACTTTGTGCTGTCAGATATCCTGTGAAGCAGAAGAAGAATGTGCGGCTCCACGGACGAGAAAAGACAGCCGTGCTGGTGACATGGCCAAGGTGAGCGTTCCCCAGAGAGAGAAGAACGGGACTGAAAACCAGGTGTGGAAAATGCAGGCCGGTTCGTGGCGCGGAGCGGGAGCCAGCGCTGGCGTCACGTGATGGGCCAGAGTCGACGGGACCACAGTGGCGGCCACTGCATTGAATGCAGGACGACAGTAAAGGCACAGAAGGATGTCTGGAAACAAGCTAACGGGTCAGCAAAGCAAAAGTAGTATCCGGAATTCCAATAGCAGGGAACACCGTCGGTGATGAAAACTCATGGACTGACCTGGAAAGTTCCTGGAAGCTGAGTCATACGGAAAAGTTTAAACATGCTACAAATTGCTATGATGCGATCCCATCACGGGAGAAGGAAACTGAAGCCCTAATGTGAGCGCGACTTCAATCGACGCAGGGAAAATCACGGAATGATTGTTTCTCCCCTTGGTTATCTCAGGAGAGCGAACAGCAGATGTGAAAGTGGAGATTATTGAGTCCTTATTTACACCTCTCTCTATCTTAAAATATTTCAAAGATTATGAACGATGTGTATTTTAGATTTGACTATTTTTCATACCTTTACTGTGATATAATTGAAATAACGTGTTGGTGTGATTCTGAGGAATTAAAGAGTTCCGTTTTGGAATCCTACATGTGTATCATCCATGAACTATCTAAGCGACAATGTCACGCCGGCCATGACATATACGAGCCTTGAACTCAGGAGAGGCAAGGTCCAGAGTTTCTCAGCATACAGATAGTATTTAAAGCCGTGGGAATAGCTGTGAGCCCCGCGGATGACGCGGACGGAAAAACGTGTGGGATTCGAGAACTTGAAGGTCACGTGTTTTCTGGACAAGAGCAGTTTCAGTGGAGTCTGAGGACACAGTCGAGTGAATGCAGGAGCAAACAGTATGTGGCAGATGAGGACGCGAGATGACACTCTTTAGAGCTGGCCGTGAACGGAGGTGAGATTCGGGGGGAACTGAGGGGGTTTGGGGGGTGAGGGCGCTCTACCGACACGTGAGCAAGCGAAGAGATCGATGGTGCAGGACGCGAACGGGGGTGAAGCCCTTGAACAGCCCGCAGGGCGGCAGTCAGACCTGCAGAAGGACTGGCCTGTGTAAGAAAGGAGGAATCAAGGCACAAGGCACAGGTGCTGGTGCAGACCGCGGGGTTGTGCGCCGGTCCGATGACAAAGCTTTCGGGGGTCGTTCCGAATTTCTCAGTGACACTGATGGGGGCGCGTTGGGTCGATCATCTGGGGAGGCGTGAGACGCAACAAATATGCCAGCTTAGGGCTGCTACGGGCTTGCAAAACATAATGAATTTAAAGCATCTAGACTATATCCCGGAACAGAGTAAGTTCTCGACTCGTGGTCGCCACTCTGATTATGACAAACCAAGTGATTAGGGCGCAGCTTATTCTGCTGTGACTGATACAAAGTTCAGATACACTAATCTGCAAACGCAAGTTAACTAGCACGTTCTAACTCCAATAAAGTGCTTAGTAGGCGAATCATTCGATTTGAAGCATCCAGACTGCTTGTCTCTCCTAATAATATTATTCCCCAAATAACTATTCTTTTTGTACTTTGCTTTCTATTCATGAAAAGTAAGAGTTCCATGAAGTAGACACACCAGATCTGTGTGAGTAACTCTCAGACACACTCGACTTTCCGTGATAAAACACTCGACCACGAAGGACTCGACTTATCCCCAATGTCACGCGCCTCCCTCCCCCCACCTGCTCTCGACCAGCTGTCTTTCCCCTTAATCTAACTGAGGACCTCGTAGGCCTGAGTGAGTCTTACAGAGAATTTCTAATCAAATACTCTTTGGCCGTCGAAAAACTAAATCAGCCCACATATGAGGCACTGTCGATATGAACGATCGCCTCGATTTGGGATGAACATCATTTGAAATGCGACTCAGTGAGAATCACGGCAACAAACTGTATTTAAAACCAAAAACCAATACATTGAACTCACTGTTTCTATTTCTAATAGTTTTAATGGGTGAGAATGTTAAGGTTTTTTTTCTCACCATGAGTATTCAAGTTCTCATTAAATTGTCATTAATTTTAAATGGTCACTAAACCAAAAAACTGTCACAGAGGAGTAATGAGAAATTGAAGGCTTCTCTGAAATTAACGGGCCTGGGCTGAATTTTCTCAACGTAACACTGTTGTCATCCTACGCTCCCCGCAATGCCGGTCACGGTCTGTGTTGATCAGAACCCATTACAACAGGGCAGCCGATAGCACGCTGGTCCGTTAGTGTATTGCGTCCCCTTCCACTTAAATAGCATCCGCTTGTCACATAATTTCTCTATGCCTCTTATGATACAATGGGCTTGTATTAGCCGGCACGAAAGGAAATCAACTTGTCCCAAAAGTCACACGAGTCCTGTGAGCTATCAAAACACGGTCATTCCAAAATGGTACTCGTTCATGGGTTTTGATGAGCGATTCAGGGTTTAAAACTGTTTAACAGCACCTAGAACACAGACATGTTTTTGCCTTATTTAAACTCGGTACCATCTCATGCGACTATGCTTTGAACGAGATCGATTTTAAGTATCTAACCTGTATTTCGAATGCCTTTCTGCTGGCTACCAACAGGACGTAATTCAGATGATTTTGCGGTGAGGGTCACTGAATTAGGTAGTCACGGGAGCGTGCAAGGCACTTCTCGTTACTCTGTAAGAACCTTGGAGACCCCGGAGTGACTCCTCTGTGAGGCGAGGCCAGAGAGAACCACCGGCCCCTATTTTTGTCCTACCCGTTTTTGCTCGAACTAGCTTAGTGTGAGATCGGCCCCTGAGATGGTCTCAAATGCTACTGTATTCGGGAAAATCCCCGTAACCCGGAAAGGCACCCGGCCAGGCCGTCCTTGTGCCCAGGCCACGGGCCGGCCGTGCTGGTTGCTGCTGAAGAGCCGACTGTGAGGTCGCGCGCTCACGCCTTTAAAGAGGGAGAGGTGAGCGCCAGAGGGGCGGCTTCCCGTGAGGCCCGGCCCAGGCCCTCGGCGCGGGTGGTGGACACAAGCCACCACGGGAACAAAGTCCTTCTCAGACCCAGCCCACAGCCAGCTCTCCGAGGCATCGGGACAGTTCAATCAGAAAGTTCAGATTTCCAAGTTCACACCCGACCTGAGACAGGAAAGACAGGGCCGGCCACAGACCTCGCTGAGTGTGTCACCGCCCCGGGCACAGGACGTAGGGTGAGAGCACGTCCCTAAGGCCAGGACCCTATGACACCAGCTCCCCTGGAAGTCTATTCCACCGACCTCCATCTGCGGGAGCCGCACAGCGGGGGTCAGGGGAAGTGCTCCAGGGGGGTCGCTAAACACTATTGTTTTCCATCAAACTCTTCTACTCTGAGCAAGGTCTTCAAGGTCTTCGGTGTCACAGCAGCTCTCTGTGCCCCCTCCCAGCTCGCTCCAGCTCAGCCCCTGGGGAGCAGAGGCTGCGGGATGAGGACTTCTGCACACATCATCATTGGAGACAGAGAGGGAGAGCTGGGGGGTGGGGCCTGTTTTAAACGAACCCCTCTTTTTTCCAAAGCACCTTCACTTCCGTCATCTTTTTAAATGGTCACAGTAACCTCGAGGTAGAGAGAGGTCACCGGGTGCACTTGAGTGTTGTGCAAACAAATCTTGTAAAATTCAAATAGTTATGCATC